GGAAGGCGAGTTCTAAAAGTCTCCTGGGCAGATTGACAAGCAGAGCAAGAAGCAAGTTCTGTTCTTCTGAGTGCTGCAGGTAACTCTGGAACATACACAGCACACATACCACACACCATGACACCCCACTACCATGCACACACCACATACACCATACACAGAACACATATACCCAAACACACCACATACAGACAACACCCCCAGACATACACCACACCCCACACAAAGCGCGCGCGCACACACACACACACACACACACACACACCCCACTCCTCATAGAATAAAGTCAAACCTCAACCCCCAAACCAGCAAATCTTAATATACATCAAGATCATTCAATTTAACTTGCATTTTAAATAAGGCTTAAGCAGTTCTAATGCAAGCGGCTTGTTAGGTCCAGGGGGGTAGCACAAAGATGGGGATAGACCACAAAAGTCTAATAAACTAGAAGCAAACTTTATTCCAGAAACCAGAATCCAGGAAAAAAATAAAATAAGAAATCTTTTTGGGGCACAAAAAGCTTATCAGCAAGATGGATTTTGTAAGGCTGTAGCAAAGGCCCATTTCTGAACCCACCTTTTTATAGTAGGGGCGCCAAGTATTAGGTCTGAACAAAGGAATTTTTACAATCTCAAAATAAAACTCAGGGGCTGGAGAGATGGCTGCTCTTCCAGAGGTCCTGAGTTCAATTCCCAGCAACCACATGGTGGCTCACAACCACCTATAATGAGATTTGGTGCCCTCTTCTGACCTGCAGGTATACATGCATGCAGGCATAACACCATGTAATAAATAAAACATTTTAAAAAAATAAAACTCAGATACAGACTGCCTTACTTTACAATCTCCATTAACAGAGTTTTTCAGTTAAACTCGTGTTTGTACTTAATCTACTGTCTTCCTTGGTACTTCCAGGTGGTGTTTACTGAAGCCCTGTGCTCTTCCCTTTGATGCTGCTTTTATTCCTAAGATGTTTCTAAGATGTTTGCTGTGCAGCTGCTAGCCCCGAAGAGATGGTTGTTGGTACCTGCAAGATCCCTAGGCGGGCTGCCGGAGCCCGCCATGCGACAAGTGGCTACAGTTTCCCACCAGCGGGAGGGCACGTGGTGGGTAACAGACACATAGACACAAAAATAGGCATAAAGCTAAAATATTTATTACGGGGGGGGGGGGGGAAGAGAGAGAGAGAGAGAGAGAGAGAGAGAAGGAGAGGAGAGACAAAGCCCCGTGTGTACACTGGGAGAGAACAGAAAAGAGAGAGAGATGGCGGTGGAGGTCAGAGGTAAAAAAGGAGTGGGCGTGGCTAGGGCAGGGACCGAAAGAATAACAGCTGCCAGTTTCACATAACAGGGAAAATACGTAACCCGGAAGTCATATATCTATTGCCTAAAAGTTGACTCAGCTCATATCTGTAGGCTAGCTCTTAGTTTGCAGAGAGATGCTTTGGCCTTGTAAACAGAGCTATGGATTGTAAAGCAGAATAACCCACTGTAATAGCTAATCCTCAAGTTGCTGAGAAAGCTGCTGACAGTCTGTTCTCATTCTCCTAGACTTATAACTTTATATTTCTTTATTTCTACATTCCTATTTCTGGAATCTACATTTTTATACTCTTATTCTTGGACCCTTCAAGGTTGAGATTTCAGAGAGAAAATACCGACAAAAACCCACAAGGAAGAAGCCCTGCCCAGGCAGGACCCACTAGGCTGCCCGTGCACTTAGTACTTGAACTTTATTCTGCACAGGGGGCCCGTGCCTTTCCTAAAATGTCTTGCTAAGCCTAGGAGAGAAGGCTCCGTTTCCCACCATACATCTGGTAATAGCTGTTCCCTTATACACAAAGGCCAGCCAGAACTTTGAAAGGACTCCTTCAAAGAGCCTGTGGATGCTTCCCAGAGATCCAGCCTTCCTTTGGGTCTGAGAAAAGGGAGACTGTTATATTCTCCGTCACACAAGGATGAACACAACACGCTTTGTTGCTTAATAAAGGCACATTTAAACAAACAAACAAACAAAGACCTCCAACAGACTAGCTGAGACTAGAAGGCCAGCAGGAAGGGTCACTGTGCAGCCGGCTTGGTACTGCTGTGAGGAGCACCTGAGAGGGGTTGATTTATCATGTTTGTTTGGCCCAGGATTGTGGTGTGAGGGTACAAATAGCATGTAGGCCCACCGGCTGCCACACACCCCGAAAGGGGACCAGCAAGCATGCCAGTGGTCTGAGTTTATAACGACTCACTCTTGCCCTGCCTCCTCAGGCCCTCCCCCCATGTCGGCTGACACTAGGGACCAAGCTTCCAACACGTGAACCTTTAGAGGACAAGCCATCATTTTCAGCAGCCTCATGTAGCAGCTGACTGACTTCTAGAGCAGCATTTACTGAATTATGCTGTGATTTTTCTTCCACGATCTACTCCAGGCCACACTAAGAGTTCATTAGCAATCATCTTTGACTTCTTCCCTTCTTCATCTCAGTATTATTATTGCCCCCCCCCCCCCCAACAAGATCACACTATGTAGCCATGTTTGGCCTGGAACTCTCTATGTAGATCAGGCTAGCCTCAAACTCAGAGACATCCTCCTGCCTCTGCTTTCATTCCTTTGTTGGGTCTACAGAAATACCCAGCAAGTGTCACACCTGGAACAGCCCTGACAAAGTGTCTCCACACTGGAGTGCCTGGAGCAAGTGAGTAGATCATAGTGTGGAAACTATCAGATAATACCAGACAGACGGACGGACAGACAGACAGACAGATGATAAACAGAGGGAAGGAGGGAGGGAGGATGTGTTGATTTCCGTTGTTCATCCAGAATCTGCCTTCCAAGTGCTGTGATTAAAGATGTGCCCATTATACCCAGTTATTGATATTTTTAAATTGCTTGAGGGTTTTATACATCTATAAAATGTGCTTTGATAAAATCTGCTCCCTAATTCCTCCCTTACTCACCCCTTGGATTCCCTTCCAATTTCATGTGCTTTTTCCTTATTTCCTTTTTTAAAGATTTATTTTTATTATATGTGTGTTTTCTTTGCATGAATGAATGTATGTGCACCATGTGCTCTCAGAGGTCAGCAGAGGGTGTCAGGGCCCTTAGGACAGACTGCCTTGTCTTCACACAGGTTCTGACCTGGGCTCTGCATTGCCTGGCTTCTGCTTCGTCACCTTCATCTCTTACGGGTAGCGAGCTGTTCTCACTTCTGTGATCTGGCCATACTGCCCCACTTTCATGGCCCATCCCCATAATGAACACCGTCTTATCTCTAGCGGAAGTGACGTCCTCCCTTTCCCAGGGACCCTCTCCACTTGTTTAGTGGCTATGAACTCCTAGATCTCAGGCACCATACTCCCACTCCCCAGAAAACCACGTAGACAAGAGCAGGCAGGCGCTCATCTATGCGCTTCCCTAGCATCGCGGATGGTCCATAAGCTGACTCTAACCATTGTAGTCATTACCTTGACTTTTCTAGGCCTTACGTTTCAGAACCACAGGGGCTCTCCTTCGTCTTCCCTGCCGTTTCTCTAGTGCGCCCCCGGGCCTGACACAGTGGGCATTCGGTAAAAAGCCGCGCCTTTAGTCCCAGCACTCGGGAGGCAGAGGCAGGCGGATCTCTGAGTTCTAGGCCAGCCTGGTCCACAGAGTGAGCTCCAAGATATCCAGGGCTCACAGAGAAACCCTGTCTCAAAAAAACAACCGAAACAAAACAAAACAAAAAGAGAAACATGGATCCTCCCGTCTGTCCAAGAAAGTAGCCAGTTGCTCCTTCGCCCCACCTGGTGGAGAAGGCGGCGAGCTGCAGCCCCTTCACCTTGGAAGCTCACTAGGCGGCACGCCTGCCTCTATCTAGGCTCAGCGTTGGACTGAAGGCGAACACCAGACATCTAGCAGAGGGATGACCAACCAGACGGCACCACGCCCTGGAGGGCCCGGACATCAAATTAACCCTTTCTTCATGAGCCCCTGGTCCTGGGAAGGACCTCCCTGTAGCAGTACCTGGATTTTTATTTGTCGATGTTGCTTTTATTATTATTTTATTTACTATGTGTGTGTGGGTGTTTTGCTTTCAGATACACAAATGTCACTGGCTTTAGGATACTAATTTAATCTGAATCAAATTTATAATGCACTTAAAGGGACTTTTTCAAAATACCTAAAAGAATTCTGAAACAGTCTTTAGTGCAACCTTGTCGGTGGAAACACTGGGTGATAGGAAAACAAAATGCAAACACTGACCCGGAACCTGGGAGTCAGGACACAAAACCTGAGTCTGTAACCTGTCTCTTTAGATTGGCTTTCTCGAGTATTTATTTTTATTTATGCATGTGTCTGTGTGACATACGCCACCCATATGCATCTGGCAGGGTCCAGAAGGTGTGGGATCCGAACACGATAGGGGCCTCTGAAGAGCAGTGTTCTTAACCGCTGAGCCTCTCTCCAGCTCCCCTGGATTAACGCTATTGGAGAATGAGGGGCACGGAAAGAAGCAGCTTGCCCCAAGCTGCTGTGCGGCCTGGATCAAACTGCATTTACAGTAAGTCAGTCACTGGAGACAAAGGCGGGGATGACTGGGTAGGAGTGAGGACGGGTCATCAGTCAGGGTGCTTTCGGGGCGCTGGGTTAGGGGTGGGGGGAGATGTTCGAGACGGGGTTTCTCTGTGTAGCCCTGGCTGTCCTGGAACTCACTCTGAGGATCAGGCTGGCCTCGAACTCACGGAGATCCGCCTGCCTTTGCCTCCCGAGCACCCGCAGCGGATCTATCGGGGCTGTGATATCTACGGGCGTCTCTCCACTCCACTGTCTCACCCAGCAGCTCTCCACCCACGTCAACTACCACGGAGAACAAACTACAGATCGGTCCGCGACCGCCGACTCCAGACGTGCGCAACAGCTCAGCAGTCACGATGGAACGAGGAAACAACCCTGCCCGGAAAGACGTCCCCTTCACTCTCCAGGACAACTGAGAGGTGACGCACTCGGCCGTCTGCAGGGAAAGGGTTTCAGGTCACCTCGGGCTGGCAGCAGGTGCAGGTGCAGGCTGCGCGCGCAACCCTGGCTGGCGGGGGCCGGTCTACGTCAGCGCGGCGAGGGGCGCTGGGGCGCCCGCGGGAAGGCGCGGCAGGCGGGGGCTGGGCGTCGTCTCCAGACACGCCGCGAGGGAGGACCCGGGGCTCGCGAGTGGGGGGCCGCGGAGCGAGCGCCACCCCGAGACAGCACCGCCATCAGGGCGGGGCCGCGCTCGCCCTCTCCGCCGCGCGGCGGCCTCGCGAGGGGGCGGGGCTTCCGGCGGCAGCGCGCTCGGGTGTCGACTGACGCAGAGTGGACGGGTGTCACGTGACACGGAAGCGACTCCGAACAGGAAAAGGACGAAAAAAATAACCGTCCGCGACGCCGAGTCGAAGCGGACCCGCAGCCACCATGAACAGCAAAGGCAAGGCCGGGGGGTGGCGGGGACAGTCGGGGAGGCGGGCTGGTCTGGGGCGAGCGGGCCCGGGGGCGCCACGGGCTCGCGGCGGGCGGGCCGCGCTTCTCCTTAGGGGACCGGGAGCCAGGCCGCACCTGACGTGCCCGCCCCCTCCCCCGCGCCGCCGCCGCTCGGCTCTCCTGGCCCCCATAAACTCGGTGGCGCAGTTTGGAGCCGCGGGCTGTGTGTGAGGTGGGGGGGCTTTTCCGTGACGGGCACTCGCTGGAGCGAATGGGGAGCTAGAGCAGGGCTGTGGGGAGGCCAATGGCGGGCCGGCGGAGGCGGGGCGCCGCGCTTCGGAACAACAGGCCTTGGCGGCCTTAACTAGTGAGGTGCCGGCCCCCTCGCCGCCGGCCCTCCGCAGGACCAGGTCTCACGGTCCCCGTGCTTGTGCCGTCCCCAGAACACCCCTCCCGCCGCCCTCTGCACGGCTGGCTCCATCCTCTCGTTAGGAAGTGGACTCTGAGTAGGAATCTGGGAGGAAAACAGTCTGGACTGAGAACAGCCCAAAGTAGAAGTCCCCTAAGACACCGGCGGTCCAGAACCTGTCCTTCATCGGGAAGGGGACACGGCCAAGTTAGGCTTGATTCCTTCATCAGTATGCTGGGAACAGCGCCTTTTCTGCCCCGTCAGAGCCCCGTGAGGGTGCAGACTGCCCTCCCTGCTTTTCTTGGCTCCAAGAAATTCGGCGCTGTATGGCAATCTGTCGTCCCCTGCGCGACTCCACCAAGTTAGCTACACTTTGCGTCCTGCCCAGCTGGTGGCTCTGTTTGCAGCCTTGCTTTAAGTTTGTGTCTGCTCTGTGTGAGTGAGGCGCTCACAGAGGGGAGCTCGAGTCGAAAGGAGGTTGTGTCAGTTGAGGACGCTGGGAACAGAACTTGGGGCCTCAGGAAGAACAGCACTTTGTCTTAACCAGTGGGCCATCTCTCCTGTCTGCCACCCCCCCCCCCCCAGTTTGACAGACAGCACCTCCCCCTTTTGTGTTCCAGGTCAATATCCAACACAGCCTACCTACCCTGTGCAACCTCCTGGGAATCCAGTATACCCTCAGACCTTACACCTTCCTCAGGCTCCACCCTACACAGACGCTCCACCGGCGTACTCAGAGGTACTGCAGCTTGCTAGACTTTGAACTAGTTGAGGACACCCGTGGGCCCCACAGACAGAAGGATGGTGATCACCATTGGAATTGTGCTGTTTGATTATGTTATTTGATACATGCTGACATTAAGGTGAAGTTGGGTCCCTTGAACAGCAGGTGACCCAGGAGACTGTTGTGTTATTGTGTGCCAGTGACTCTAACGCAGTGATCTGTACACACGAAGAACTGAGAATGGACTTAGGAGCCAAGCATGGTGGTACAGGCACTTGGGAGGCTGAGGCAGGAGGATTCTGATTTCAGGGCTGTCTTGGGCTATATAACCAAGCCCTGTCACCAGAACCATCCAAGGGGCTGGAGATGTAGCTGGTTTGGTGGAGTGCTTGCTTAGCATGCGCTAAGCCCTGGATTTGATCCCCAGCACTGTGTGAACTGGGTTTGGTGTCAAGGGCTTGTAATTCCACCAGTCAAGGTGAAGGAAGGATCTGGAGTTCAAGGTCATCCTCCACTACAGTTGAAGGTACTAGTAAGACTTGATGAAGACATTTCAAATAGGCATGTCACAAAGTAACATTCTGCCTTCTCCTCTGCCTCTTTTAGCTCTATCGTCCAAGCTTTGTTCATCCAGGGGCTGCCACAGTCCCCACCATGTCAGCTGCGTTTCCTGGCACCTCTCTGTATCTGCCTATGGCCCAGTCTGTGGCTGTTGGGCCTTTAGGCTCCACTATCCCCATGGCTTACTATCCAGTCGGTCCCATCTATCCACCTGGCTCAGCAGTGCTGGTAGAAGGAGGGTATGATGCAGGTGCCAGATTTGGTACTGGCGCTACCGCTGGCAACATTCCTGTGAGTATGGGCTAACTGGAAGCGATATTCCTTCTCCCACCATCCGTGGACAGTAATGGTCAGGGTTGGCACAGCAGTCAGGGTTGGCACAGCAGCTGCTGTCTCCTAGGCAGAAATGTGACACGTCCTTTGGTTTTGGAATTAATCATTTGTTTTCTTGCCTTAGTAAGATACTGCTAGCTAGCTGGGCAGTGGTGGTGCACTCCTTTAATCCCAGTATCGCGAGGCAGAGACAGGTGGATCTCTGAATTTGAGGCCAGTCTGGTCTACAGAGGGAGTTTCAGGACAGCCAGGACTGTTAGACAGAGAAACCCTGTCTCAAAAAACAAAAACAAAAGCCTGCTGGCTTCTTTTTCATTGGCGTGGGCACAGTGAACGCTCCTTATTAAGTCCATACACTCTTAATATCTACCACAAGGATGAAATGTACCAGGAACCCAGGTGATTAAAAAAGTAGAATGCATAATCCCTAGTAAGTAGGTGTTAGTTACCAGTTCCTCCTGCTCAGTGCTCTAGTATGTGGGGTTCTAGCAAAGGCCATCTTTGAGGAGCCACATTCTAGAGTGAAGTGGAGTGATGTGATCAGTGGCTCTTAAGTGTTACAGTGCTGTGTTACAAGTCTGCAATTGCTGAGGTGCAACCCAGTGGTAGAGCATTTGCTTGGATATAGAGTGCTCTCCTGCTCCATGAACAAATGCACACAAAGCCCACAAGAGACCCCGCGGGCTGTTTTTGCTGTTTTGGTACTGTGACTTGCAGTGGTTCTCCTGGGGATAGGCTACACCTTAGGGTGGGAACACTGGTGAGTGACAGGCTCCCTCCCATCTGTGTCTGGATTCAGATGGTGCAAACTGTCAGAATTAGCTCCTTTTTAAATGGTGGTTGCTTGGTGTGTGGCACATGCCTATAATCCCACAGTGGGAGGCTGAGGCAGGGGTCAGCCTAGGCTACAAAGCAAGAAGCAGGCAAGTTAGGGTTACATAGTGAGACCCTGGGATAGCCCACCCCACCCCTGCAAAAAAAAGTTACTGGTTGGCTCATTGCCACCTTTTTGAGGCATCTTCTTCCCTTGTGCTCCTCCTCTTTGCCCACTGTCCTTGTCCTTTCCTTCTAGCCTCCACCCCCTGGATGCCCTCCCAACGCTGCTCAGCTTGCAGTCATGCAGGGAGCCAACGTCCTTGTGACTCAGCGCAAGGGAAACTTCTTCATGGGTGGCTCAGATGGTGGCTACACCATTTGGTGAAGAACCGTGGCCACGCCTGTGCCAGGAAAGACATCACGTACCTTCAGCACTTCTCACGATGTAACTGCTTTAGTCATATTAACCTCAAGTTGCAGTTTAGACACATGTTTTTGGGGGTGTCTTTCTGGTGTCCAAACTTTGAGGCACATTTCAAATTTAATAAGGAACCATGTAAGGGTAGCAGTCCCTCCCTAGAGCATTTTGAGGTAGGGAGGCCTCCATTCTTCAAATGAATGTGGATGAAGCAGCCCCGAGGCTCTTCCCTAACTCCTCTGGAGTAACACTGTACCATCCTGGTCTTCGCTTTTAGTAATAAAACATCAAATTAGGTTTGGAGGGAACTTTGATCTTCCTAAGAATTAAAGTTGCCAAATTATTCTGATTGGTCTTTAATCTCCTTTAAGTCTTTGATTTATAGTAGTTGTTAAATGAAACGCATTAGCTGTCTGCCTTTTCCTTCCCACCAGCCCACCCTGTCCTCCGTCTTCCATCAAATCAGTGGTGCAAGACAGAAAGCCAGTCACTCGGCCCTTCTCGCGTGCACCTGTCCCACTTGCCATTTTTAACTGTCTTCATAAGGATCCTCTGAAGCCCCCTGTGCCCTGAGCACAGACCCGTTTCTTTGGGTTTTGTGTATCTCCAGGAGAAGGTGAGGGGACCTTTAGGACCCACCTCGTAGGCCGTCTCTGCATCACCACGAACCCAGACTTGCTGTGGTGCCAAACCTGAACTTAAACAACAGTTCTCAGTGCAAGCTGTCCCAGAAAAGTTTCTTTAAAAGTGATGGGCAGAGAAGAAAACACATGAAAAAGCTTGGCTTTAAAGCCAAATTAAGGATGTTTCGGATCAAACTTGGTTTTCGTTTTCTGAGTGATGCAGCCACTCGGGTTCCCAGGAGTTTTCCTGTGATGGGTTGGTTAGTAGGGTCACATGAATGCCTCGCTATGAAATGACTTGAGTCCAGTGAGATCTCATTAGGATTAATATTTCAGGGATCCTTAATATTTTGATTTGTTTTCTGAGATTGGATTTTATTTTATCTGACATTTCAGTTCATCTAAATCTTGTGTTCTTTACATGTATTGTTTGACTGTACCATCGACTGTTATGGAAGTTCAGCGTTGTATGTCTCTCTACACTGTGGTGCACTTAACTTGTGGATTTTTTTATACTAAAAATGTAGAATAAAGACTATTTTGAAGATTTGAATAAAGTGATGAAGTTGCATTACACTGTACTCTAGGCATTCTTTACTCAGCATGTGTTCGCATGTTCATACATGTCAGGTCTTTTAGAGCTCACCCAGAAATGAGCTCGCTGCTCCTGTAGCTGCTTCTTTAGGGGTGTCTGTGAAATAAATGTAGACGTGCAAGGTGAGGTTTTAGGTTTGGCTGTTCTCATGAGCTTTCACTAGAGCTCATTCTGGAATTCAAAACACAATCTTAGAAATGAAAGAGCAGTGCTGGTCATGTTGGCACTGGACTTTAATCCCAATGCGGGGGAGGCAGAGCCAGGTGGCCCTTGTGAGCTCAAAAGCCACCCTATTCTACACAGTGAGTTCTCACTCGTGCTAAGGCTTCCATCAAGGAAAAAACCTTAGTGTAGTAGTCTGTACACTTCAGGGTAATTTCTAGATGGTTGCTCCAAAGTTCTATGTGGAGAAATACTGAAAACAAGCGGGCCAATGCCATTACTCTAGTTACTGTGGAAAGAGGTCTGCCAAAAGTTTATGGGGTGACTAGCAAGATCATGTCTCAAACCCACAAAGCAAAAGCCAACCAGCCTCTGCACTGCAGCTTCTGGAATCTACACTGCTAATGTCGGGTAAGAGTTTTAATACCAGAGTATCCAAGGGGTTGGGTGGAAAAGAGCCTGGCCTGGCAGTGCTGGCACACACCTTTAATCCCAGCACTTGCGAGGCCAACCTGGTCTACACAGTGAGTTCTGAGACAGCTATAGTACACAGAAAAACCCTGTCTTGAGGAAGAGAGCTTTACTGGTAGGAAATTTAGGTGGCTAGGTTTTTTCTGACTCCCTCTATATATAAACAGGGATCTGGGAAATTGTGGCCTTTCCCAGGATAAAGGTCAAACCCACTTAGTTCTCATGTGTTTCTGATGGGACAGTTGCTGCTTCTCTGGAACACTCCTGAGATAGTTCTAGGAACTTCAGAACATCCCTAAGAGTTCTTAAAGAGAGATAGCACACGCAGAAGAGTTAAAGAAGCAGAGAAAACACTATAAAAAGTTTAAGGAAAAAGTGAAAATTTAGTTTTTATAAATGAAAATCTTTCATAATAAATTTAATTTGGATTAAAAACTGTAAATTTGAGGCTGCTGGGGGAAATGGTAAGGTTCGGATCAAAGCAAGTAACACTTGGAGGCCTGTCCTTCCTGGCCTGATCCATCTTGGGGTATCTAGCCTCCAAGAAGCTACACTGGGGCTAGGCAAGTAGGGAGGGGACAAAGTGGACCAGCCTGTGGCCACCTTCCACATCTCCCACTTCCAACTCAGGCATGGCCCCATGTTGTTGGCCAGTTGTGAGCAGGCTGGATAGGTGTCATAAGCAGCTTTCTCTGTGTCCCTGGACCATGGAGTCAGTGACGATGTTATTGGAGACTGTCCTGGGAGGTGAGTGGATTTGCCATCTCGTTCAATGCCACTCACTGGCTTCAGAGCAAACCTTCCCTAATTATAGAGTCAGTGTGTTAGCACTGGAGCCAAGACTTGGCCCCTCCAGTCGGGATCATTAGATGAAGTACTCTTCCTTCTCTCTGCCCTTGGCTGAGTCACTCTCCATCTGGAGGATGGTGCTGGGCTCGCCTTCTGCGGGCTCGTAGGTGACGTAGCTGCCTTTGTTCTTGTACAGGTAAAAGAAGATCAAGGTCACCACCGAGAGCAGGGTGAGGAACACCACAGTGATCACAACTGGGAAAGGAGAGGGAGACATGTTTGAGTACTTCACTGGGCCAGTCAGGTCCTCTCAAACCCAGCTTCCCCAGGACACAGCAGCCAGAGTCTCTTGGTATTTAGCTACCACAACACAGTTTAACTCCCTCTCAAACCAGTTCCTGATGATCATGCTAGAAACCAGGAGGGAAACAGCTGATGCCAGCAGGAAGGGTGTTTTAATACATAGCTTCCCATGAGAGTTTCTCTTCCTCACCCACTCAACAAAACCACACATCTCCTCCTTCCAACCCACGTACTCCAGCTGAGCGTCCACATGCGCCACAGCCTGTTCACGGCCACTCCCACCCTATCATTTGTCGGCATGTCTCCCTCTTTCACAGCTCTGCATGTGTGAGACCTACATGCCAGAAGGAACCCAGTACTGGAGTTGGTCCCTGATGTGGCTTTTCCTGTATGAGGAAAATCTTAGCTGTCACACTGGGTTCCAGGGTATCTCTGAGCCCAGAGGCCCTTGTTACCTGCAATGAGTGCTGTGCTGGCCTCTTCAGCTTGTGGGGACAGGGTCTCATGGGCCTGAAGAACTGGCGTGGTCATCAGTTCTGGGAAGTTGGAGGGGGAAAAGGAAATGGTGAGTCCTTTGTCCTTGCCATTCTGTCACTTCCCTTCCTGTTCAAAAGCTCAGTGGTTCAGAGCACTGTCTGCTCTTCCAGGGGTCCTAGATTTTATTCCCAGCAACCCCTCGGTGGTTTACCATCACCTGTAACTCCAGGTCAAGAGGATCTGAACTTCTAGCCTCTGGGCACCAAGCAAGCACACATAGTACACAGACACACAGGCAAAACATTCATATATATAAAATAAAGATTAAAAAAAGTTCAACTAGTATCTACGGTAACTCCAAACAATAACCTGGAACAAAGAGATTAAAACAAACCATTTCTAAAAGACAACATTTTTATGAATTTTTCTCTATATAATACAATGTTTAAAAACAGGGACTTGAGCTGGGCATAGTGGTGCACACTGTTAATCCCAGCACTTGGAGGCAGAGGCAGGTATATCTCTGTGAGTTCAAAGCCAGCCTGGGCTACATAGTAAGTTCCAGAACAACCAGAGCTACACAGTAAGACCCTATCTTGAAAAAAGAAAAGAGAGAGAGAAGAAAGAGAAAGAAAGGGGCTCTTGGTTGGGAGTGGTGGCACATGCCTTTAATGCCAGTACTCGGGAGGCAGAGGCATGCAGATTTCAGAGTTTAGGCCAGCCTGGTCTACTGACGTAAGAAAAATAGGAGGGGGGTGGTTTTTGTTAGGTGTGGTGACATGTCTGTAACCCCAGTACTCAGGGCTGAGACAGACTGACTGTTCCAGGTAGCCTGACCTGCATAGGGAGATTCTGTCTCAAATACAAAACAACTATGACTCTCGTATCTGTTGAACGGGGTTTGAGCCTGAATTGATTGATTTTCAAATGTGATCTGTCCTTTTCAAGCTACTCCCTTGGGAAAAACATCACCTAACCTCTGCCAGCATCAGTCACTTCGGATGCTAACGGTACAGTACGTAGTTTATAGGCTGTGAGGCAGAGACGTGAGGATCCGGCCTCAAGTCACTTTGGATGCTAACGGTACAGTACCTAGTTTATAGGCTGTGACATAGAGACTCATGGATCTGGCCTCAGTCACTACAGATGCTAACGGTACAGTACCTAGTTTATAGGCTATGAGGCAGAGACGTGAGGATGCCGTATAGGGAACACATCAAATGTTGAGTGTGTATATATGAATATATTTGTACCATGCAGCATAAATGTATCCTGTAATCTTTCCATGTACATCTTTAATCTTGTCTGTATGTATGCACATTTGTGGTACATGCATAGCATAGTGCACTTGTGGAAGTCAGGGGACAAGTTCTGATACCCATTCTTGTTCTCCCCCTTGGGCGATACAGGGTCTCTTGTTCTCTGCTGCCTACACCAGGCTAGCTGGCCTTGTGAGAATTCTTCTCCATCTTTCACCTCAGTATAGGAGTGCTGAGAAAGAATGCAGATGCATGCTACTGCCAGGCAGAGTGCTGTGAATGCAGATGCATGCTACTGCCAGGCAGAGTGCTGTGAATGCAGGTGCGTGCTACTGCCAGGCAGAGTGCTGCGAATGCAGGTGCGTGCTACTGCCAGGCAGAGTGCTGCGAATGCAGGTGCATGCTACTGCCAGGCAGAGTGCTGTGAATGCAGGTGCATGCTACTGCCAGGCAGAGTGCTGTGAATGCAGGTGCGTGCTACTGCCAGGCAGAGTGCTGTGAATGCAGGTGCATGCTACTGCCAGGCAGAGTGCTGTGAATGCAGGTGCGTGCTACTGCCAGGCAGAATGGCACTCACCTTTAATCCCAGCATTCAGGAGACAGGCAAGTGGATGGATTTTGTGAGTTCCAGGCCCGCCAGGGCTAGTGGGGGACCTGTCTACAACAGAACAAATGCACACTGTGCATCTGTTTTTACCAGGTTCTGGGGATCGGGATTTGGATGTTTATGCATGTACAGCACGCTGCCCACCAAGTCATCTCCTTGGCTCTACATACCTTTTATAAACATTGTTTTCAGTAATAAAATATACTTACCCTGCCCCAAACCTTTTTCTTGTGGAATATTACTTTAACTATGTAAGGATGTGTTACATTTGTTTATGCTGCATTTGTTTAACTGTGTAAGGACGTGTTGTTGTTTTACCTTGCCTGCCTAAGGTACCTGATTGGTCTAATAAAAGGCTAAACAGCCAATAGCTAGGCAGTAGAGGGATAGGCGGACTGGTGGGTAGAGAGAATAAGTAGGAGGAGAAATCTAAGCTGGAGGGATGGGAATGAGAGACACGAACAAGGGAAACAGAGGGAGCCGCCTGGGATCAGCCAGGCAGCTGCCAGCAGCAGGACACAAAGTAGGATACAGAATGAAAGGAAGGTTGAAGCCCCACGGCAAAACATAGATGCAGAGAAACGGGCTAAATTAAGTTGTCAGAGTAGTGGGACAAGCCTAAGAGAAGGCCAAGCATTCATAACAATATTAGATCTCTGTGTCTGTATTTGGGAGCTGGCTGGTGGTCCATGGCAAGCCTGCTCTACCTTTCACTTCTAGGGTAGGTTCTGCACTTTAACAGGCTTGGAACAGGACTTTCCCCACCCTGTCTGTCTGTCCTTTAAGCTCCAAAGCCCAAGTCATTACTCAGAGTCAGGACATTATTAAACTGTGGTCTGGAAACTTGTGGGCAAGTCTTTTTTAAGGTCTCTCTAGGTAGCTCCACTGGCCTGGATTTGCTCCATAGTCCA